GATTGTAAAGAAGATCAAAATGGTCAATTTTTCTACCAATCAGAATGCAGAAAAATTTACATTCTCTAGTACTATTTTACTCGATTTGTTTATAGGGGTGGCGATTCTTTAGTAGAGACCATAGGGGGGTTGAGATTGTTTTTTAGTAGATCCATGTTTTCTTTAAATAATTGAGTAAATTTCACCCAAGAGGACGCTAAATTGGAAAAAAATGTGCCTGTAATTGAGAGAAATGTTCGTTTTCCTAAAACAGGCTATTTTAAAAACAAAGTTAATTCAGTTTCAAATTATGCAACATTCGAAAAAAAAAACTCAAAATTATCTTTAGGTGAACAACATTCTGAGACATCACGTGGTTTGCTGCTAAAACTTATCTAGATTGAGATCCTTGGCCACTGTTGATAACCTGTGTGTGATCGGAAACTGTCAGTAAAAGTTCAGTCTAAACTTCATTCCCACTGAAAACTGAATGAAGATTGTACAGTAGTGGTTATGGGCATCTTTAGCTTAACATACATTTATACATGGGCAAACCTCATCTCTAGTATGTACTGTAATGGATCACAGTCGGACAAACAAAAAACTCATCCGCAAACAAACTCCCAGTGACACTCATAACATGACACTGAGAGAAGTCTTCAATTTTGACTTCGTCTGAACAAATAAGTCACAAACAAGACCGCTGACCATTTGACGGATATACCATTCGAACTCGATAATAAATGGTATATTTTCAATTTTCGGTTTATTTCATGATCAAATGTGATATTTTTGATGCGATTTCATTGGCCGAATCCTAACTTACTACCTGTTAACAAAGTGATAAATGCGTTATTAATTGCTTTAATCCGATTATGTTAATTAGTCGAGCCGAGGATTAAAAAACTTGAAAATATCAAAAAAATTGTTATTTTGTTCTTAAATTTCATTCGCCAGTAGATTTGTATTTATTTCTTACTTGATTGAATTAAATGCAGGCACCTAATTGAAAATCGTTCTGTCTTATACATCAACGGGTGGGTTCTCAAAGGGAAAGGACTTTTTAGCCCAACCAATCAAAATCTCTGCTGTTTCTATTTGCTGCTTAACTTAAACAAATCTGAGCTCAGCCGAACCTTTTTGTTTTTACTTCATCTCATATCAATCTGCGTTTAATTCAGCCTGCCACTAATTTTATTCTAAAATAACACCTGAGCTGAAATTCAAAAATCTGAAAAAACAGTTATAAAACTAACTTGAAAAACCCGGAAATTTTCAATTAATATTGCATTAAAAATATTTTAAATTATTTACAAAAATTTTGATATTTCCTTGATGGTTATTTCCCATTTTACGCCCCATCTTAACTTTGGTCATTTTTCCATGGATTTTGACTCTTTCATTCCCCCCATCCCCCCAAATTTCACCCCGGGTTCACCCGCCATTATTCCCTCATCACCCCAAATTATGTTCCCGCCAGTACCTGGCTCTAATCTGAATCCCAACCTTTTCCCCCGCACACAAGTGGTGCCTCAGTACTCACATAAAAAAGAGACCAGTCCCTCCCTCCTGGCCCAAAATGACTCATCATTGACCCCGTCATCACTTAGCCCCCCTTTCGATGGGACGGTGGGGGCTAAAAAGGAAAGCGGCGCTATGCTCAGCGATCTATCAAAACAACACCCTATATCAAACAGTAAGTCTACTTCTAGAACATTCTTGTTGATGTTTTGGATACCGAACAATTTCCTTAAAAACGCGCGCGAATAATCACAGAACCATCTATTGATACAGCTTATCAGAGCTCTTTCTTTCATATTTCGATAGTTACAAATTCAGTAAGAGTTTTCTAAGTGTCGAGAAAAAAATTAAGTTTGCCTTTAGACTATTTTAGAGCAAAAGGAGAGGAACAAAATAGTTGATGTATTTGATAACCTTTAGCAGCTGCAATTTATGTTAGGAGGTTAAAATATTAAAAACAATGGGTTTGATAATCTCTTAAACTCGGCCATGATAACTAAGAGTATCTTCAAAGAAAAATTTGTAGAAAAATCATGTTTTCTTGAACAATTTTCAACTTAATTTTCATTTTTTTTTTCAAATTCTTCATTTAGTTTTCTGAATTCGCTTCAAAATGTTTGTCGGAGCCTTCTGCAAGAATTTGTCACCTGTTTGATTCGCTTTACTGAATTGCAAGTTCACTTAATTATTTTTAATGTTCATTTTTGATGTCTCATTTTTATACACAATTTCTAGCGTTCTGAGTAAAAAATATTTAGATTTTTTCAGTTGAGTTTATTGTTTTTAGATTAACGCTTTGAGTTATTTCGTGCCAGATGAGAACCAATGTTGTTTTAACTCCGACATACGCCAAGAAAACGCATCGACTTTCTATTACTACTTTCGTTTGTAGTTTTTCTATGGTTTTTTGGTACTTTTTTGAAAATGATTCGAAAGTTGCCAAGTTAAATTGTTTCCAAGTTAAAATTACAATGCACTTTCAGCGACATTTTTTGGAACCCCCCTTATAACTTAAAAATAAATTCTGATACCTCAATAATTGATGATTCTAACCAAGAAAAAAGCGAGTTTTTTTGATTATCCCTGAATCATAAAAAATGAAAATCAAAAAATATTCGAGAGGCCCAAAAAAACTTATATCAGTTGAAATTAGATTGATAGAGCTTTCACTTTTTATCATCAATGACTTGGAGTTTTTTTAATCTGAAAACAACTTTTTCTTGTATAACTGTTTGAAGTTTTCAAACGAAATATTTGTTTGTTCAATCTGGCTAACTCTCAATGGACAAACAATTGAGACGGGCTGTTTGTTTGGTAAACAAGGGTCAATTGACCGTTGTTTACTAATTAACTAAGGGGGACCACTTGACAATTGATTGGACAAATAAACGATGCAAATAACTTGAATTAATTCAAACAGAGAAGTTTACCAATTCAAAGAAAAAACCACCGACAACTGTCAAAACTTTAAAATTAACTCAAATAAAATAAATTTACTTTAAAATTTTTTCAAACAATTTGCGCATTAGCCCGGTTCGTTTTTACAAAATTTATTTTTTGTTAGGATCTAATTTCATTAATGAAAGTTTATAATATATTACTTGTGTACACAATTACGGAAGAAAACAAAATATGCAGCTCAGAGGCTAATTTAGACAACGTCATTTTTTAACCTTTTGATAAAATCTTGATTTTTTTCAGAATCACTTTCGCCAGGGTTCGACTCTGAAAACGTTTTGTCGACCAATGAGAACAGAGAAAGCAATCAGTCCTCGGCAGGGTGCGACAATTCATCTCCCTCTCCACTCTCATCGGCGACCGAGAAGATCCCAAAATGCATCGGGTGTTGCGAGCCTATCCTGGACCAATTCATCTTGAGAGTGGCGCCGGACTTAGAGTGGCACGCGCACTGTCTCAAATGCCACCAGTGCTCGACAGTTCTGGATGAGAGACAAACTTGCTACTTAAAGGACGGCAAACCATACTGCAAGCTAGACTACATACGGTATGTCCTACGTTTCTGCCCCCCCCCCCCCCCGCCTTGATTTGTTACCTTTACATCACTATTCCGCTAATTTTAAAACTTCATTCGGTGGGGTGGTCAAAGCGACATATGTTTTTTTTAATTAAAAAACTATCCGCTGCAACATTTATCTATTCTTATCAAATTGCACTTAAATATTTTGATATCTTCTGCAATTCGCAGAAACAAAATGATTACTTTAGTGAAATAATTTTTCGATCTTTTTGTTTCAGTTTATTCAGCATCAGATGTGGAAAATGTGACCTGCCGTTTGAAAAGACTGACCGGGTGATGCGAACTATGAACAAAGTTTACCACGTGGAGTGTTTCTCCTGCAACGTCTGTTTCAAACAGTTGTTGCCGGGAGACGAATACGCAATCCGAGATGACCTCATATTCTGTCGGGACGACATGGTCGAACTCATGACATCATCTGCAGCAGCTAATGCGAATCAGAGTCCCAACCAAAACTCTTTGCCGACATGCGAGAACCCATCGTCGGCAGGGGATACGAGGATAGCAGGAATACCTTCAGAGCAAAACAGTCCCAAATATGGGGGCATGCAGAACAATTCAGTCGGGAATAATTTGAGTCTGTCTTTGAGCTCGTCAAACGACTTGGATAGAGACGACAAAATCATTTTTTCACCAGGTAACGTTTGGGATAGGATCAATGATCCAATTAAATTGATTAATTTTTCGCAATACGAAATGATTAATTTTTCGCCTTTCTCTTGTTTCATATTCCTTTAGTCTTGAGCCCTATAAGTTATTTACATTTAGCCAAAAAGTATGAAATTAACAAAACTTTTCAGTCAACAATATTTTTAAAAATTGACCAGTAATGAAGCAAGAACCAGGCTTTGTGTTGACAACTTTTAATGCTCCGTTTTTTTTTGCGTCGTCAAGTTGAACAAACGTAAAAAGGGCGGTGCTGGTTTTTCTTTGTAGTATATTTCATTGCTAAGTACTGTTTTTATAATTTAATTTGCAACACTATTAACTTGTTCTTACTAGCATACAAGACCCGCCTTTGAGTAATTTGAGAGAGAAAAAGATCCTGATTAAATTTACATAATACCAAGAACGCTTTCCTCTTTTTCATTCACAGTCGCCTAATTAGATAAGCGCCAGGCGAGGGATAATTGTTTCATAGTCTGAAAGTAATCCAACTCCAACGCCAAAACTATACACACCATGTTTTTTCTTTTTCTCTCTTATGAGTTGCCATGTTAATTTTTCAAACAAATCTGTTTTTCTGACTTTCATTGTAGCTTTTGTTCGGTTCTCATCCTAAACTATTTTTCGGCTTGGATTGCAGGCAATTTTTCGAGAAAACTAATAAGTAATTATAGATAAAATACCATTTCCCCTGTGATTTAGAGATACTCAAGGAAATAATATATAAAAACTACATGACGAGCAAAAATCCACAACTAGGTAGCAATTCTCAAGACTTGAACTTAGTTGGTCTTTTCAGATGACAAATCGTGCAAGGACTCTGCAGTCTCTCTGTCGGTCAGGGGGGAGAAGAGACACCACTCCTCCAAGGACGGCTCCTCCAAGCCCACCCGCATCCGTACTGTGCTTAATGAAAAACAACTACACACTCTCAGGTCAGAGCAAATCACAGACAGACTAATCTTGCTAGATAGATGTGCAGACGACAGAGTCCGAACAGCAAAAATAAACTGAAAATCCTCTCAAATTTGCAGCCCTTTGTTCATTTTTTTACGCTCCTCTTAAGATTTTCAGTGCTTCTCATATTTTTCGTTTTTTCATGGCTCTACGAAAAAAAAAACCAACACAGGTAACAACAGGTGTCAAAATACTTTGCCCCCGAACACCTTGCTCTACGTTTTGTACCACTCCAATTTTTCCAAAATGACAAATACATCTTCGGTGGCGATTATATAGTATGTCGCACTCTGTGTGTCCCGGTATGTGAGTATAAGTTGAGTGGTGTGTTTGCAGGACCTGTTACAATGCCAACCCCAGACCGGATGCCCTGATGCGGGAGCAGTTGGTGGAGATGACTGGCCTGTCTCCCAGAGTTATTAGGGTCTGGTTCCAGAACAAGAGGTGCAAGGACAAGAAACGAAGCATAGCCATCAAACAAATGCACCAGCTTCAGGCAGAAAAGGTACCACTGTTGTTCCAATCATTATGTTAAACTTGTCTTTTTTGTCCGCCACAAACTAACTTCACGCAGCTTTGAGCATTACATCAAATGTAAACCCATCCAACCGTGATTCGAGCTACAGCGCAACAAAATGCATGTAGATCTTAATCAGGTCTTGATTTTTAAATTGGGTAACTTCTGCTATTCAAGTATCAAAATGATTGTCAAGCAAAAGTTATACAGAAAACACCTTCAGATGATATTTTAGAAGTAAATTTCAGATTTAACGAAAAAATCTGTTTTTTTTGTTGCTTTTCGTGTCTCTTTTCAAATCTCAAAAAAAAATCATTTTTTTACGATGTTGCATGTTCAGACTTGTATGTTATGAGAAGAACGGGGCTTATCGATTGAACAGAGCAATTCAGTTCCCGATTCGAGTTGAATTTAGTCAACCAGAGAGAGATTAAATCCCCTTGTAAAATCAGACCTAGTAAGACTTCGTCTAAGCCTTATCGATCGCCCCCATATCCGTGCCTCATAACCGACAATTCCCCCTATTTACTAGGAATTCCACAGGAAATAAAATCTATTGATTTGCTATTTAGAGTTCTTTCAAACTCGATTTGGACAAATTTGACAACAATTCGCACATAAAGCATCACAAAAGTTCAGTTTGACCGGATGCAAAAATTAATGGATTTTCACCTTTGATATTTTGTTTCGAGAAACTTCAATTCTTCAAACTGACGTTCACATAATTTTCATAAAACTGTTCATAATTGTGTTAAAAATAGATTGAAAAACTTTCTGATCACCAAACTAAAAACAAATATTTCAAGCTGATAAAAAAACAGGCCTTTCCTTTTTTCCTAAAATTTCAATTAAAGTTAGTTATAATGATACAATTATTTCGTACAAAAATGAGAAACTTCGTTCCGAAAGACAAGTTTTCTCATTACCGTGTTTACGAGTGAAGAAAAAGTGACGATAAATTTGACATGTCCTTCTTTTTTGCTCCTTTTTTGTGTAAATTTATATGTGTATGTTTTCATTGGACAGGTGTGTTGAACAATAGGGGGGGGGGGGGGGTTCTAGTTAGTAGTTAGAGGCACTAGGCACCATAGGAGAGAGAAGGGCGAATATTTTCATTGATTAGTCGACCAATTTGACAGCTCATGTCAAATAACTCCATATTTTCCCCCTCCTACAAGGAGACTCAGAAAGAAAGAAAAAAGAGAGAAGAGAGAGAGGAGAGGTAAAGGAGGGAGAGGGATTTCAACAGACATACTTGGGCATCGGGCCATGATTTAACTACTCATCGCGATAGTCAAAAATCCCAAAATCAGCTTAATTAAACTAAACAAAGTAAATATTTAAGGTTTGAAGATTTGGAAGATAGACCTAGAATAGACAATTGAGGTCGCACGTGAAGTTTTTAGTCCTCTTTACAAAAAACAAGTTTAATAATGATCGACTCACATTTTTTAGAGACACTTTTACTCTCTAAGACACTTAGTTTAATATAGAAAGAACTCTAGGTTGATTTTTACTTGGCTTTTTTTAAAAGCTCATTTTGCTTTATGTAGTTATTTTTCAGAAATTTCGATTAGTAATTAAATCAGAGATATCAGCCTACGTATAGAATAAATGTTTTAAGATATGTGCCTCGATGACAAAAAAAACATACTGCAGCTATAACTAAGATTTACATACATAAGATATTGGTCGAATTATTTAGAAGGCTGAATCTCATTTTTTCTAATCGATCATAAAAATCAATAGAACTTTAAATCCTTTTATGGACTATTTAGTCGAATTATAAACCTGTATAAAAATGCAATCTCCAAACTGATCGGACAGTATAAAAAAACGAAACATTTTTGCGAGGTTTCTTTAGAAGTTTCTTTGTCGTTTTTTTTTTAAAATAGCACTCAATCAATTTTGATCTGACAAATGTTCGTTCATCACTATGTTCATCATCATCATTTTTTAGCAAGTAAATACATTGAATGGGGGAAAGTGAATCAAAGCGTACGCGATAAGAGGCAAATAGTTGAAATCTGAAATGTTAGCCCAACAATTAAGACAGCTTCCTTTTGGCCCAGCAGTTTATCTTATCTTGACACAATTTTTCCACAAAGACTAGTTGGTTCTTCTAGTTCCATGGAAATATTTCCTCGTTTCTTTTTTCATTCAGCGGAACATTTCAAAGGGTAAAAACATGGTCGACATTTTTAACATACAAAATAGAACAAAAATGCAGAAATGCCTCCTTTAGATTTAAATTGCAAGAAATGCGTATTTTATTTTTAAAATGCGCGATTTGTATTCCATCAAATTCATAAGCATTGCAGCAAGCATAACAAAATAATTTGAATCATCTGAGCTCCGATTAGAAAATTTACTAAAAATTATATATTTCGGTCAGTTTTCATCAGTTTTTCAACATGAAAACTGGACGGTTGTTTTAGTTTTAATTTTTTGTAAAGTTATGTAATATATTTTTATTTATACGTAAAAAGCAGATTATCGAAAAAATAGATCTATAGAGATAGAAAGATAGCGTTGAACTGTGAGAGGTGGCCTGAAAAAACTGAATTGAGAAAATGTGACAGAATGCATTGTCTAGTAATTTCCTGTGCTTTCTACACAGTCTGCGGGACTCCGGCCAGGTAGCTTCCGGGGGGCATAGAGGGGCTGTGAGAGGGGGGATAATTGTGGAGAAGGCTACAACCCACAGGTGGCATAATAGAAGAGAAAAGAAAAAGAGGGGGGTTGAGAGATAAGACCAGAACAGATAAATGACAATGAGCCGACTACATGTACTAGTACTGTTAACAGTATTACCACGAAACAACGTAAAATTTGTCAAAAAACCAATTCGGACAAAATTTTATTAAACAGAAACGTCGGCAGTAATTCTTTTGTAGGAAAAATTTGTCTGGGTAAATAATCTGAATCTGTGTCACTGTATGTGAATACACAGCGCTACAAAGGTAGTTGCCACTAAAATGCAAAACCATTCAAAATAATATTCGAACTTTTAAAACAGCGCAGAAGCAAAGTTCCTTTCAGTGCATTAAGAAAAATGACTTTGAACATTTCTAGGAAAAAAAAATTATACGTAAAAGAAAATTTATCTTTCCGGATAAATAATTTTCTAGGCTAGTTCTACAATTAAAATACTTTGAAAATTAAAATCCTTGTAAGATCATTATTATTTACGCCTTTTATTGCAATAACGGTTTCAATCAGGGTTATAATGTATCTTTGTTTTTGTTTTTCAGAATATTAGTGGTCTGAATGGCGTGCCCATGGTCGCTGGCAGCCCCATGCGTCATGACCCAGTGCTGGACGGCCAGTTTCCTCCCTACCCCCACCCTCCGTACGGCCTACCACACCACCCCCACCACGCCTCAGAGATGGACCCAGCCTACATGGTAAGAACAGTTGGACTGAAAAATATTTTGGAGTAGTTTGCAAATCATTGTTTCACTAATTTAGAAGCTAAACTTTTACAAATCAAGAGACAAACAAATTTTTTCTTCGGCGCTTGTCGGCTAAATTTTCTTTCTTCAATGAAGAGCCACCAAAAAAATTTTTGCTAATTTTTCTGGGAAAAAGAATACCTGGATGCTAAAAAAGGAAAATCAATTAGGAGTTATAAAGTTGAATTACTTTGCGAAGAACATTCATTTTTGAAATGCCAAAAAATTGACATCAATGAAGAAGCACACTCACTGAGAAGTCGATTGGATGATGTCGTCAAAAAACGATCAGTTTACACTTTCAATTTTTTACGTTTGACGGCGTTAACAATAATAGAGACTTACAAATGTTGGGATTATTGAGAAATGTACTAAAACGGAAAATATGGAAATATTTCAATCAGATTATCAAATTACCTCAAACTAAAATCTAATCGTCTTATTTCTGCGACAATTTGGCCACTTGTGACGGGATGTTGGACGCATGTTTCCTTTTCTAGAGGAAATTGAACCAATCGCCGCCGCAATTCTAAACTTGTCACCTTTTCGACCAGGAAAGGATTTATCAGGGCGTACAATATGTATATGCAGGATAAAAACAGAACAGTAGAAAATTTCATTTAGATTCCCATGCTTAAATTATGCCAATGTATGATTGGCTACTTTTGCTAGTAATGTTTATCAAAAAATATTGACGAATGATTTTATTAAATACTTTATAAAGGGCACTCAAAACATTTTATTGACAGAATAATAACTATCTCAACCGAGAATTCCTGTAATACTTGAAAATTGTAAAACGGCTAAATGTGCAAAACCTTTAAAACGCCTGTCATTGACTTTTTTTAAAATCATTTTATCAAAAGAAACTCAAATCAATAATAACAGGTAGCTGTTGTTTCAGATGGCATTCGACAACGGCGGCGGCGGACCAGGTTCAGTCATTTCAGACGGCTGTTTGGGCTCGCCTGCTGGAAGCGACTGCTCCCTCTCTCTATCCTCAGACTGAAAACAACATTCCACCTACACCCGTCGAAACAGACAATTATCAACCCTAATTCTACATATTATGTACATCACAACTATTAATTTCAATGTCATTTGAACACTCGTCAACGAATTGCCATCTACACTGAAGAATTGCGACAAAGGATATGCATCGACGAGGTGGATGATTTTTACCTTCGTTTGATCTCTTCAATTATTTAACCGACCCTAGGGAATCTAGAACCTTCGGATTTCCCGACATGTTTACAACGTCATATGGTACCATTGAATCTACTGGATATGGGAACCGATAAAAATTCTGACAACCGATGCCGGATATTCGAAATTATTTGAAGCACAGAAACCTGGATATTTCCCGACTTGCGAAGATTTTGGATGTTTATTTTGACGAGACTTCATCCAGTCAAGGCCGAATGAACGTTGATTAGATGTTACAAATCCTTTTAGCTGTCAAAAACTCAGTCATCAATAGCTGTTTAAACGAACCGTCAATCAAAACTCTATTGCAACTCCATTCCCAAAAAGACACTCTTTTCTTTTCCGTTTTATGTTTCAAATAATGCAGAAAATTTAAATGCTGTAAATAAACCATTTAGTAAATGTTACAATTTAATCTTCTAGAAAACAGTATCATTGTAAGAGACCTGTATGCACAGGTAAGTGTGACACTCTTCGTTACATTCGCAATCGCTTCAAATGAAAAACCGAACAAAAGGCATAAAACAAGGACAGCCAGTTGCTGTGCAAGTAGCACAGAATGTTCCGACTATATTCACAAAAAAAAAGATTTTTAAAAAAAATTTTCTTCAAAGTACTCATTTTTAGTTTGTGGTGTGATTCGAGAACTACACAATCGCGTAGGGAATTAATGGATTAAGCATAATCCACTAAATTTGTGTTCGTAAAATTAATACCAAATAAAAAAAATGGAAAAAAATTGTATTTTTTTTCTATTTATGCTTTTTTTTGTACGATAGTTTTAATTTGCTTTGAAAATAAGCGCTGAAAGAAATATCCAAAACTAGTTTACTTGATGGTAAAATCAAGTTTTGTGAGCCTAAAATTATTTTAAAAAAATAGTTAGTTTCCATCTAACGAACATTATTCGATCGCGTTTTGCGCTCGAAATTGAACTAATAATCAAAAACAGCTTTTCTAGACACTGCGACAAAATTTTGGAAGTTTTTTAATGTCGTTTGAATGGCACTTTCTCCAATGATATTTTTGTGGAAGCTGATTTTGTGTGAAAAAAAACTTGAACACCCGAATACAAAGTTCCACCTATTTTCACTAGTCGGAACAAAAAAAAGTTGGTAAGAAGTGAAAGAAAAACAATCAAACAAGATGTTCAAAATATAATTTGAAAACTTTTGGCTAACTGTCCCATTACAAATTTGCAGTTCAAAACAATTCTATTAGACCGACGACGGTTTTTTTCTAAACTCAAAGACACTTTTCTATTTAGTTCAAGTTTTGAATTTCATTAAAAAAATTACATAACCCTTCGAAAATCATTCAAGAGTAGGATTTTTCCAAAAACACAACCTCAATTCGGACAAATTAAATTTTATTAGGAAAACGGGCCAATATATTATTGTCTAATTGTGCAGGGAAACCTAAACACTACTATCAGCTTTTGAAACTTAAAATCGCGCACGACTTTTTGCACAATCAGCAGTTTTGTTACTAATCAGCGTAAAATACCAACCAAGCTTTTTGTTTTTTATCCTTTAATAACAACAAAGTTGCCCGTATCACGGCGAAGTCCTGAATTTTCCGACTGCCTTTTTTTGTCTTCGAAGCAGTAATAACACGAAAAAGTTGAATGTAATAAAATAAAATATAAAAATTGAGATTTTTTGTGAAAATCATCCCCCCACACGCCAATTAAAGAACAGGGTGATAGAATTTCATCGTAGCAACAACTCAATCATGGCGAATAAGCTTCCTTCAACCACTTCGTAACGATTTCAAAGACGGGTTAAATCTCCTTTTACGCGTTAACAGCGCAAAATATATCGCGCATTAATTGTCCCAAATTGGCCGACATAGCAATCTTTAAACCCCCATAACTTTACGAAAAATGATAACAGTTGAAATATCTTTTCAAATTTAAGCTCAGGACAACAATACCTTTCGAATGATATAAAAAAAATTCTGTCAAAAATGGCTAGTTAAAAATTCGAAATTGGTCTGAAGAAAAAAAAACCCACCCCGAGCACAAATATTCCGTTACTTTCGTATCGAAAGTCGGAACAAGAACGGTTTTTGAGAAATAAAATGCCAGGCAACTATGCCAGTAATATCAATTGTAACTAAATATTAAAAAAAAAATTCTGCTTTAAACTGCCGAAATCCAAATATCATCGAGCGTTGTCTAATTTTTACTCAGATATTATCCAGAGAGATAGCTGCTAACACAATTACTCAAGATTATTAGTAGCATTTACTTACGTATTCGCAGTTAATTAATAACTCATATTCCTTGTTGTTTGTGCTCGGGGTGGTTTTTTCTTCAGACAAAATTCGACATTTAAACTAGCCATATTTGACGGAATTTTTTGTTATATCAATCAAAAAATATCGTTGTCTTGAGCTTAAACTTGAAAAAATATTTCAACTGTTATCATTTTTCGTAAAGTTATGAGGGTTTAAAGATTGCCATTTTGGCCAATTTGGGACAATTAACGCGCGATATAATTCGCGCTATTAACGCGTAAGTGGAGATTTAATCCGTCTTATAAATCGTTCCAAATCGGTCGAACGAAGCTTCTTTGCCATAATTGATCTGTTACAAAGAACGAAATCTATCTTTATGTTCTTTATTTGGCGTGTGGGGGGATGATTTTCATAACAACTTTCAAATTTCAGAAAAAAAAAACATTTTTTTTTATTTCATTTAATTTTTGTTCCGACTTTCGATACGAAAGTAACGGAATATTTGTGCTCGGGGTGCGTGTTTTGTTTTCTTCAGACAAATTTCGACTTTTCAACTAGCCATTTTCGACGGAATTTTGTTATATGAATCAAAAAATATTGATATCTTGAGCTTAAACTTGAAAAAATATTTCATCTGTTATCATTTTTCGTAAAGTTTAAGCTCAAGACAACAATATTTTTTGATTGATATAAAAAAAATTCCGTCAAATATGGCTAGTTTAAATGTCGAAACTTTTCTGAAGAAAAAACCACCCCGAGCACAAACAACAAGGAATACGAGTTATTAATTAACTGCGAATACGTAGGTAAATGCTACTAATAATCTTGAGTAATTGTGTTAGCAGCTATCTCTCTGCATAATATCTGAGTAAAAATTAGACAACGCTCGATGATTTTATCAATATCCAAATAGCGGCTGAATGGAATCAAATTAGACATCGTACTCACCCACCCCAATGGATCAATTCTTGTGATATATAATGATATTTTTTACGAGGCATTATTTCTTTAGAACCAGGGATTTTAGAACTGTTTCGTTTATTAGGGATGTTTTCGATTTCACCAATAAATTTTTCAGATTTGATTGCCCGCTATAACTTCTCAAAAAAGTAGAAATTTTAAAAAATCACAACAGCTTGAAAATGCAAAGATATAAGACAACAGGACCCAAATTTCTCATACGAAATTCGGGTCCTGTTTGCCCTAACTCAATTTCTGAACCGGATTAAATGGCCAATAACTCATTTATCGCTCGAAATATATCTCTACAAAAACTTAACAACACACAATAAATTTGAGCTTAGGACATCGGCACCGTTCATATAGTATAAAAAACTCTAGGCTGGCTTGGTTATAAAGTTAAAATTTAGTTTCAGAAAAAAATTACTTCGTGGACAAAAATTCCTCACTTTCTTCAAAAAGCGGAACAATGATAAAACTGATACTATCAAAGAGCAATCATAAAATCAGTTCTAATATCAGTGATTATTTTGCCACATGCTTATTTCTCGCATCAAAACTCTCAAAGTTGCGATGAGAAAAAATTTGCCAAAAAGTGGTCGCTTTAATATAACATAAAAATTTACTTTCTTAAATTTATCTGTCAAACTAGCTCAATAAAAAATCTCAGAAAGTATCTATTTGAATTCACAGAACACAATAAATGAAATACAAATTTTAAATTCACTTGAAATAATTACACTTTGAAAATGTACAACACGACTACAAGGCAAGAGAAAGCAATGTGCATTATCATTCAACAAGCTGGAAAATTTACGCTCGATTATCATGAAAAAAGCTAAACTTAACTTTATTTATTTATATTTACAATAAAAATGATACCAGTTTTACTGTATGACTCAAGCGGCTTTATTTAGCGATATGGTGACGAATTTTAGTATACTGAAGGCTCTTTTTGAATGAAGTGACAAAGCAGGGTGACTTCAGCCCAAATTATCGCCTAATTGCTACTGAAGAACTGAACTGCCTCGTCCCACAGTTGAACGGGAAATCTTTTCATAAGTTCAAATTTGGATCCTGAAAAACAAATTAGTAGAGGAAAAGTTCAAATTGCATTGTTGACGTTGAAAATATATCAAAATCTTTGATAAAATTTTTCTTATTCCAAATCAGCTCTTTATGTTGCTGCTATTCATTTCTTATACAATTACGAATCATAATTAATTTTATCTCAGCGACATGATTTTGAGAGAAGATTATTTTAATAAGTGTCTACCATTCACTCAGCCTTCATATGATATTTAGTTTTTTTGCCATTGAAAATAAATATAACCCCTAATTTGTCTGATTTGCATATCAAAAGAATTGAGCTTAAGAGGTACAAAATTTCGCTTTTCTCATCAACATGTGAATAAATTTTCCGCTATTATGTAAATTTTCTCAAAACAGATCACTTTTTATTCAAATCGGTTAAACAGTTTTCCGAATGAAGCCCACGCATAAACTCATAAAATGATTAAAAATAAAAATGCAACAAATTCTCTTTCAAGTTTTGAGCCCTACGCCATCTAAAGCCCCCTCCCCCCACACGTCATACTTCACCTTCCTCACACTAAGTTTGCTAAACATTCCGAAACCGACCAAAGCTGCTATTCGGGACAGTAAATTTCGGATTAACCACAGAAAAATGTGGACTTCGAAATGTTTAGAGATAGATCGGAAAAATAATTGGTCAACAAAGAACACTAAATTTCTGAAAACCTTCGGAAATGTCATAAATCATCTCCAGCTTGCGGATTTCGATAATATAACAACGTTAGTAATAAAGTTTCCGATTTAAAAAAAATTATTTCATCTCAACTTACTTTTAATTTCTGAGCACGACTGTATTGAATTGTAGAAAAAATCAAACGAGTTGTGGCTCGCAACGATGTCTTCGGATAAACAGTCTATACTAACAACTTTTTAAATTGATCTTAATTCCAGAAGGGTGCATTTATGTCGACAACTTATGGTTAATCAATACATGCTCAACTATTTTGATACGTTGTTTACTATTCTAAATTCACCCCCTGTTAAAGGGATTTAGGGGAAGAGATTAAAAGAATAACCGAAGCAACAACTCCCTGGCGAATTGCTCAACATCTTTTCATGCTTCGTCCTCATATATAACTTTAATCATAAGAATCGATTTGATCACTTTCTTTAAAAAAAATTTTTGCTAGTCAGTATTCCACAAAAATTATATTTGGCAGAACAGTTTGATTTTTTAGATAATTTAATTTAATAGCAAAGTTAAAAAATTAGATATTTAATAGGAAAGTTTAAGTATCTAACGCAGATAATTGAATTTATAAAAAAAAGTAGCATTTCTGCAGATTTTTATTTGGATCTATAAAATTCATTCTACCACAAAGAGTTCTGATACACTAACTTAGAACGTTTGGCCAAAAACTCATTCAAATTGATCTGCTATTGCTTAGGAAAATACAAAGTGTAAAATTCGTTCCTGATAAAAGCAGTTTGAGTACCGTTTACAGCGAAGTGCATCATCTATTTTTCGCCATGAAATATTTCACGTGTTGAAATCACGATGAAATAATTTAATCTATCTTATCTTTAGCTGGAAACCTCAAGACGGTCTTCTTAAAATAAACAGCATATAAGAAAACAGCAAGCAGCAGGTTAAACGTTTATCATGTTTAGCGACATCAACATGTTCAAATTTTAAATACTAACCGGAAATGACCATCAAAGAATTCTCAACTGGTTGTCGTTTCCCCATCTGCGTTTTCTTTTTCTGAAACGAAAGCTTTCTTCACTAAAGCATAGAGAGCGGGCTGTCTTACCCAAATCATTATTATTTCATCTAAAACTGAAGTAAAGCAATTAAATGAGACTGCGGCTAGTGAAGTTATTCTGCTCTCTAAGCAGTGGTTTCCGTCCGTCGCATCAACATCTGCGCATCAACGCATCTTTCGTGATAAACATAGTCAACAGACAGTTCGACAAAAAAGTATACGAATGCAAGCAAACAGAAAAAAACTATATTTTACAAAACTTCCATATTTCGAATTTTGGAGAACAAATAGTAGATGACCTTAGAACTGTTTGAATTACAAGAGCAATTTATGACCGACACTTTTTTGGTAAAAAATGATTAATTTGAGAAAACTGGCTCAATAGGTAAATTTTTTTATTTCGCTAGAAAATCTAAAAACTAAATTACTGAACCTGGAAATTCATCACGTTTTTGTGACGTTTACACTTTCGCTGTTCAATAGTGGAGTTTGCCTTCTTTTTAACAAAATAAATGAACTGAATTTTAAAAAATCAAAAACCAAACCGCGAAAAATTAAAATTGAGCCTGAACAATTTTTAAGACTTCTCCTGAAAAAAATAGAAGCAACAATTATTACGACCTATAAGAATCTGAACTACGTTCATTGACTCTTAAAATCTTTACGCTGCTGATTCAAAGATATTTCTAAAAGTATTCGAAAAAAAAACATTTATCACAGTCTGAAGACAATCCCAATTCCATAGATTCTAATGCCGCAAATTTAACATTACAACGCATATCTACTACACGAAATGAGCCATTATAGCAAAACGTAAAATTAAAACCCGATTTTGAAAAAATTAACCAGTTCACGAACACTATTCTAAAATATCTGTTCCAATGTCTGGCGTGTGAACATCGTGATAATTTTACGATAACCTATAGCATTATTTATGCCCATTTATGCAGAAGTAAGGAATGCTTATTCAATTGTTTTCAAAACTGATTTAATGCGACTCAACTTAAATAACCGTCCATTCTTCTCCGACAACTTTTCTCTTCTGTATTCAAATTCGATCAACTCGGTCGATTAGTCTCTCAGTTTGACTTTATTAAGCTCCCTGCGTCAGAGTGTTTTCATTTGTATAAATTAGACAGATTTCAATTCAGCTTCAATCGAGGAGTGAGTAAATAGACTGGGGGGATAGAGAGAGGTGAGTTATTTCTGGTCAATTAGCCAGTTAGGAGGAGTTAAAAGTCCCCACAAAACACACCGTCAAATACAATCACTCACACACAAGTACACACTGAGTCCAATTGAAACACTTAACACCAAACACCAACACTAAACCATGTCCATCCAGACCAGCTGAATGATTGTTTCTTTAATTTACCAACACCAAACTAAGATAAATTACATCCCCGTCGGCGCCCGAGAAACATGCATTTTTATCAACAAAAAATGGAGACCCAACTTTTTATTGAGCAGATTTGATAGCTTTTTTCGTCATCTATGACTCCAAGCTGGACTTTTGTGAATAGTAAACGAGAAAAAACCCCGACTTAAGCAGTTCATTGCTGATTAGATTATCCTTTGTATTGGAGACATGCTGTGATTTATTACTGCTCTATGGCGGGTTAATATTTAATTAACAGCGGATTACGTAGTAGATTCACATTGAATGACAGTGGATTAGCAGTAGCCCAAAAAAGTTTTTCTTTCAGAATTCCGAATAACAAAAGAAGGCATAGATTTCATGAACAAAAAGTTTCTGAGACACGGACGCTATCAAAAATACTCTTTTCCACCAGCTCAGCTTTTGAGTTCAAAGCAGCGTTATAGATATAGGAGGTAAATTATAGGTAGATCATCTTGTATAGATTGTCTAGGCACATCAAACGTCAAATCGGCCGTCTGACATGTATATCAAATGCCTTTTTTAAAAAAATAGATTGAAAAAATACAACAAAATTTCTAAAAAAAGAGAAAAACAGCCGTTTGAAATTTCAAATTTCAAGATTCAAGAAGCACTTCCCTGGCATTAAAAAACTGAAAATATTTGAAATATTAAAAAAAAAATTTTAGACAATTTTAGGTTTTTTAAAATTTCATTTTTGAACACAAAGACGAACTTCATCAAGCGGTAACTTAGCCAAAAATACTTGAGCGGAAAACCTATAGGCCAAAAAATACACCAAAAATTTAAAAACTAATTAAAAGTATTGAAGTTTCTCTCCCCAACACACACGAACACAAAAACTTTTTTTCGCAAGAACAGCCACGCAAAATGAGGCCACTAAGCCGACATAGCATATGCCGATACTTACTGAGCCAAAAAAGCGGACGAAAAAAATATAGCCAACTGGCAGTTGGAAAAGAGTAATGAACGCACGGAAACTGAAAAAAAACTTGTTTTTTCATTAAAAACTTTTGAGTTTCGAAGAAAAAAACAGTTCCCCACCCTCTTATAAGTAAACAATAAGTGTTCATTCTGTTCTCATCGCTGAAGTAGTGGAAGGGCAGCCCAGTGCACAGTTGTTGGAGGAGGATGGGGGGACTGCCCGCTTGGATTATGAGCTTAAAAAAACACAAATTGCCTTTTTATTCTTCCTGATGTTGCGTCAATTCAGTCGTAAAATTACACGCAAAGGCGAAGCTTCGTCTCGCAAACACTAGCCAGAATACGACAAAGAGCAGATCTATAAAATTCAATCAAAAAATTAGAAATCGGCCTCAATTAGTAAAAATCCAATTACGTCTGAGATTCGAACCAGCGACCTAGAGATTAAGAGTCTTATGAACTAACCACTCAGCCACGGACGCTTAATAAAAAACCAAACACTAGGCACAAACAAAGCAGAGAACAGATGCTATGCAATTTCCAAAGCTACAGTGAAATTTCCAAATAAGTGAACATTTTTAATGATCACTTTTATTTGCGAGTTAGGTTAGAAAAGAAGAAGGGTCGTAATAATACACTAAGCTGATCGATAATGTAGAAACAGCTCTCAATTATGGGCATTAAAGTGATAATTATGAAACGTTTATGCAATAAGCACAAAAAATATGGAATATCGACCTGTAAGTAGTTGACCAATAGAGCAGGTGTGATCTCAGTTTGAAGTATGTTTCTATTGGCTCTGTTTCCATGACAGCAGGCGATGAGGGTGGGGAACAGAATGTCGATTCTGGTCTCATCGCTGAAGTAGTGGAAGGGCAGCCCAGTGCACAGTTGTTGGAGGAGGGTGGGGGGACTGCCCGCTTGGATTATGAGCTTAAAAAAACACAAATTGCCTTTTTATTCTTCCTGATGTCAAAATTATCAACTACATCGATCTTTGGTGCTTTAAAGATTGTTTTAATTCTAACCCCCCTGATTTGACAATAATTTGTACATAACCGGACATTGAATCAAAATTTCAAAACCTTTTACCTAGGCAGCCACCGAATCAAATGTATCTCTTTGTGTAAGTGTATGTACGAGTTGGAGTTGATGATAACACATGGGACACAGCAAAGAACCTATAGTCCAAAGATCTGATAACAACGAACCTAAAAGCCAAACCCTAACATTTATTCAACCTATTAAGAATTTCAAAGCAAAGGGTCAACCTTGATTTTTAAACAAAACATAAATAGGCACACGGAATCAAATTCCACGCTTCGAATCTTTACACTTTCCAGATGTTGATTTTTTGGATATTTGCAAATCTGCCCTAGTAACGCGGGTTTTTTTGGGACAATAGTTTTCATTGTTCTAAACGTCGGACGTTCTCACTATCGGATGTTCGCACTGTACCTGCTGGTGTTAGCACCCTGTGGTTTGATTGTGGTCGGGTTGCGTCAATTCAGGAGGAGTTTAATACCCTGCCAAGTGTCATCCCACTAACAGTGAAGATAAAGACTCAATTCATTCAGGCAGAAAGAAGGAAGGAGACGAAAGTTAGTTGTGAAAACAAAGAGACACTTTAGATCCGCCTGAACAAAAGACTCTTTGTCTCTGAATAACTTCTTGACTTAGCTGAACAAAGAACTCCAGATTGGGAAATTTCAATCGATCCATTCACGTTCTAAGGAAAGTCAAGCAGCACTCGGACCGTCTATTAATTGGAAAAATTTAATCAAAACAAATTTTAATTTGAGCAGCAACTTTCCAACCATGTCGCATTGGCAACAAACTCTTTGGTCGGAAAAATATCAGTAAATGTTTGTCTAAAATTGAGCAACGAACGCACCGAGCGGCAATTTTTAAAGTGAGTGTTTGGATACATAACAAAGACGATCTCGTTCACCTAGTTTTCAAGAGTAATCAACGTAGTGAAGACTCTCATGTCTTCGTGATTTTTTTCAGGAAAAGTCTTAAAATGCTCTACTAACTACAGATGTGCATTCATACATATATATCATAATTTGTTCTAGAAACTCAAAGAGCTTAAAGGGCATCTTTTTTTCTTTGAGTTTTTTTTTGTTTACTTGCGTTCATTACTCTTTTCCAACTGTCAGTTGGCTATGTTCAGTTCTTGTGAAAGCTGCCTCCAAGAAATCCTTTCTCCTGATCTTTTTGTAGAAAGTTTCTAATACACGGCAGTAGGAAAAACTTGGGTTATTTGTGGACTGTTTTTATCTATGTTGTTTCTAGCTGGGAGCTGATATTTGAGTACTGCTTCTGACTTTATTCAAGAGAAGAAATACTTGTTACTTGATCCTCGCCACGTCACTCTGCACTACTCAATTGCCGAAACTCCGCAATGTAAATCCTCTTCTTCATAACAAATAACGACCCCCCCCCCCACATAGGGGTGGGGTTTTTAACAAACCAAAACGACCCCATCAAAAAATGTATACCCTAAGTTTAATGCAAATAATTCAAATTTGCATGACCACAAGATAATTTATAAAATGCTTGATGCTTGTTTTGAATACTACCTGCAATTTTGAAAAACCCCGGTGATGAAAAGCACCTCTGAAACCTCTCTTGTCCAAAAACATGTTCAACCCCCATATTGAAGAGCGGAGCATACTTCAAATAAGATGAACCTAAAATGTAGGTCCATGTTCAATTCAAATGCATCAAGTTATTTTCGCTTTTTGTTTCGACTTAATAAGAAAGTGACTGAATACTTCTGCTCAGTGTTGCTTTCAGACAAACATTGACTGCTCAACTGGCTGTTTTTGACAATACTTTTATATCATTTTACAGAAATTACTGGGGTTCAAAATTACAAAAAAAAGCTTTACAACCTGTGATAGAAACCATTGAGGTTTGAAAATTGTAAAATTAGGATCAATAACGCGCTAAATCAAAATCTTTCTAGAGAAGGCGGAGCCAAGCCATTCTCTGACACTCTATTGTTTCATAATAGCACAATTGACAAATTCAAACATGGCAAGAAATCATCTGTTGAAACTGAAAAAACAGATTGCTTATAAAAACTTGCAATCAAATCAAATCATGAATTCCAACGATTCGATTTCGGAAAGTTGCTTCCAGTCATTACCTTCGTTTGACTAAGAGATGAATGAAGGTACCAATCAAAAATCTTCCTAAAATCATGTTATTGCTAATGTCTTTGTTTTTAAAACCAGGAAAATTACCTGGAAATCGATTGGCTGCACCATTCCGGAATATATCATGAAGGTATTTAATTTTAGTAAAAATGCTTTAAAATGATTTTGCAACCAAACATTTAGAGTCGCACGTCTCGCATCTGCGCAACGGGCCCTACCAAATTTATTAACACTTGTCACAAAGAAGCAGCTACATATGCTAATAAGACTGCTCGTACCAGGGCAAAGCCCTGAATGTTCCGACTGCCCATTAATTGGTCTCGAATAGTTTTTGTTTTATGAAATATTGAAAAACTACAAGTCGGAACAAAAAATTGCCGCTAAGCAGCAAAAGTCGCACTTAATAAAAATGATCACAAATTTTGCATTTAAGAATTTGAGATATAAACATAGCCAACGAACGCAATGAAAAAAGAAATGAACGCAAGGAAACTGAAAAAAAAAAACTGATATGTTTTTTTTTTCGAAAACCTTCAACTTCTGAATTTCGAAACAAAAAATACATGGCCTTAAAGCTCTTTGCATCTGTAGAACAATTTATGATAAAAACTTTTTTGTTCAAATTAACCCAATTTGGGAAAACTGGATCGATAGGTAACTTTCATTTCGCTGGGAAATCTGATAATTAATTTCCATTTTCGAAATAAGTCGATCACGTTTTTCGTGACCTTTACTTTTGCTGTTCGATAGTCAATTTTACCTTTTTAACATGGAAATGCACTGAATTTAAAAAGAAATTACAAGTCAAACCGTGAAACATCAAAACTGAGCGTAAACATATTTTATGACTTTTTCCTGAAAACAAAACAAAAAAAATCACCAAGTCCTATATATGAGTACTCACTAAGTTCATTACTCTTAATAAACTAAGGGCAATAACTTTAACTTTGCCTGTAATAAATTGGACAACGTAAAGCCAAATTATGTATAAACTATGCTATTTCAAAAAAAAAATGGGGAATCTATTGAGTTGGAAAATATCAACTGTTGTTTGAAGCAAATAGCTTTTTAGTCGGTTCAATTCAAGAATTAACACAGAGAGGAAGCTGAGCGTCGTGTTCTCGCTTCGCAAACACTAGCGAAAACACGTCAAAAAGCAGTTCTACAAAGTGCAATAAGCTCTACAGTTCTAAGCAGTTCTACAGTTCTCAAATTGGCAAAAATTCGGCTAGGTCTAGGATTCGATCTACGACCTACTGCAATCAAGAAATTTTGAATCTCACGCACTGACCACTCAGCGACGCACGATTAACCACCTACAAACACTTGCCACAAGCAAAGCACCTACATATGCTAATAAATTGCCAATAAATTGCAAACTTATTACTACTTGAATGACAAAGTACATATTATCAAAAAGCTGTAAAGGTGCCACCAGAAGTGGCACAAACAATTGCGGCTTCGGTTGAAAAAAAGAACACTCGTACTATTACACTATGTTCGCTAAAGACGCTTGTGTAAACAAAAGTCAATTCTGTGGAAAATGAGCCGACTAAAAGTAAGCTCAAATAAAATTTTTCCAAGAAAAAGTATCAAAGACAAGTTAGAAAGATCACTGCATTAGTAAGGGTATGCTGTACCCAGAAGTTTCATAAACCAGCAACCAGAAGATTAATAAACTCTGGACACTTGGGTATGAGTGAATAACCCGACGACGCCGACTGTTCTTCAGAGTTCTGTTCAACTCATCAGTGTGACAATTTTTACTTGGAAAAAGATACCAGTGTTTTCGCGCGCGAACTTCATTGGCTCATTGAAAGAAGCTATTCATCAATTTTCGGCACCAGCATCCGTGTCACCGTGAGTTACAGGAATCGCAATTGAAAAGATCTGTATTACACAACCCATGAATATTATAAGAAACTTTTAGAGACGCAGGACAAGAGACAAATTAGGGACCATTGGTGAGTAATTTCATTTTTAGAGACCAAGTAAACACAACCCGGCGACAGACCTGGTTGTCACTATTTGCCAGAGTGAAGTATCCAATGGTGAGAATCACTTCGTGCACCAATTTGGCACACAGTCCCCACCCCCCGACTTCCACATTGTAGTCTCCCCCAACACCTCTGCCATTAACTTTTCTGGTGTTGTTGTTGTTGTTTGGGTCTGTTGCTGTAGATGCGCAGCTGTTGAACAGATTACTGGCAATGTGTCTCAACTGCAGCGACAGACTCTCTTCGCTTAGCACTTCCTAAACAGACAGACATCAACTGCTACTTTTCATTTCATAAACAAGATTGTGAGCATTTATTCAAAGAACCAAGTAACAACATAACAGCTAATCAGCGCTCGTATCAGAATCAGAATAGCTTTTATTATCCTTGTCAAAACCTACATTGATTTTTTTGGATTATTTATGGTGGAGTTCATGAATTAGTTTCAGCGAAAATATTGAACCACCAATCGAAAGTAAGCTCAGGTTAAAATCAGATAAACATACAACCTACCGAGGATAGTCGGTTGCTGCGAATGTAGCCCAGAATGTTTCGACAGAACTCTTAAAAACCACAAAAAAAACTGAACTTCAAAAAAACAGAAATAAAACGGCAAAAACCTAATTTGAGCGTAAACAACTCTTAAAACTTTTCCTAAAAAAACAATAAAGCCACACGACCTAGCTAAATTTTTTCGCTTCGTTTATTAACACTGAGCAAGATTAGCCACTTGCTGGACAAGTAGCACAGAATTTTCCGAACACCGATAGCAGAGCAAAAAGTTTTCGTTGTAAATTTGGTGCCGTTAGGGTGAAATTAAGCATAAAAACATTTGGCAATAATTACCTAAATAAGGCAACAATAAAAAGGAAAGCATGCCAAACAGACCGACGCAAGTAGCAAAAAGTATAAAGGTCGAATGTTTGAAGGACGAATTTTAGAAGCTTAGTTTCTCCCTATAAATAGACAAGTTTTTCCAAAAATAACATAACTTTTAATATGACGAATGATTTGGATAAACTATCGAAGAAATTTAACAGATTTTTAATACTACTCTAATTAGTTTAAGGCACATAAGACGTTCATTGACCAATCCAAACCCATCCAATTTTTTTCCATAAAAGGCATCTCAATTTCACCTTAATTGAAATTTGATTTTTTAAAGTACTAGTCAAACTTCATTTGCTAATGTACATTTCTCATCAAGAATGGTTTTTGATGCAACCTAAAATTCAACAATAATCAAAGGCTAAAACGCTCCGCTAATTTTTGATTACGGTCATAATTTAGAGTGCATAAGCAAGTTGTTTTCTTTTCACGCTTGGTCTCTGTAGCAAAAACTAATCTGAAAATTGGGAACACGACGGAGGAAATCCAACGACGTGAGTCGGACAGAAACTGATAATTATTATGGAAAAGCAGATGAGCCGAAATCTAAAAATGTTCAATTTGCTAATTGATACTCTTTTTCTGCATTTTTGGAACAAAAATTCAGTTAACGTTTTCATGGCATCTCATCTAATTGCCAAAAAAAACTGGAAAGCAATCAGCAATATGCCCAGGAGTTGGGGTCTATTTTTAACGAAACTTGGGAAGGCGAACTTGAAGACTGTGAAAAGCGCTTTGAGCGCCAATACAGACTAACTTTGAAGCCTTATTCTATTGTTATTATTCATAGATACAATAAGCCTTGAAACAACTACGTTCAATTTTCAAAACTAAATACTTGGCTTGAAGAAATCATATTCAGAAAGTAAAAAATTATTGAAGCACATCAAAATTAAGTTATTCTTGCGTTCGAGCTTTAATTCAATTCAGTAATATGTAGAATTCTGAACTTTCTGCTTCAGGCATAAAACTCGCTTAAAAAGATTGATCGCAGACCAGAAATATCTCGAGGTCCAGTTTGGAATCATCTTCCAAGAGAAGAGCCAAGTGACTCCGGATTAACGGGGCTTCAACAGACCACTTAGCAGAACTTGTCCACGAAAATCATTTTACAGATTAAAAACGACTTTCTATGAAGATAAAAAAGTATTTCATTTTGACAGCTCAACATAAAAATTGTCAAAAAGCCAAAAATATATATAGTTTTTTACATTAATATTTTTCAACAATAACTTTTTGATATTTTTAATGTGTTTTGACGTTTATTTTAAAAAAAAATCATATTTTCATATTCTGAAAAACGAAGTTTTTTTCAAGAATTGCTCATTAAAATTGATTTTATAGTAAAAAATAACTAGTTAAATTCGTAGCAAGCTACTTGGGGGTAATATTTTAATAGATCGATCTGCTCAGTGGCCCATCTTTAAGTAAGGAAGAACAGCGACCTACACGTTGCCTTAGGCACTTGGGGTGACTTTTAGAGGAACAACTAACTGCTAATCCTCTCCTTAATTTTTTAACACTTTATTAATAAGTTATTCCAGTTTTGATAAATCCCTATGGCTATTTTTCCTTTTATCTGCTCAAGTAGAATTTTTTTTAGCAGTTACATGTATGTATAGAGTGCAGCAAAAAATCAGAACAGACAAAATTAATTAAGTTTTTTTTTTGCAAATTGAGGCTAGTTTTACGACATTATTTTCCTATGTCGCCTGAAAATTTAAATTTGCATGCATGTTTCCTCAAGATTTGTAAGAATTTCTATTTTTACTTAAGTTTAACTGTTCGAACTTTAAACTCATATGGTGAGAACTTGTTGGAGATTTAATGCCAACATTGGCGCGCCTTGCGCTCTTTTCTACTGAGGAAAATTTTCTTTAGGTCAGATTAAACCCAATGCTCACTCATTGTTTGTGGACAGGTTAGGAGTTTTCTTAGGAAACAAACAACAATATCATAATCTGGCGGATGAAAAGAGAAACAATATCAGATGACAGGCAAAGTATTGAACAAAGGCTAACTGCGGTTACATGATAGGACTGAGGGAAGGAAACGAGATAGTTTAATACAGGTCACAAACTAAACTTCCAGGCTCAATTTAACGAGGACGGAGTGATAATGTTGCTTAATGACTAAATTACTAAAATTGTATTGTGAGTTTGACCGTGATAGAACATTACACCAAAATTCCAAATTTTTCTCCAATTTTTCAGCTATAATTGACAGCTTTCAGTTTGCTTTGAATGGCTCTTAATTTAATCTACAACTTCAGAGTTTCTACAACTTCGAGATTATAATTATAAAAAAAGATAAAAAAATATTTGGAAACTTAACTAATATGACCGTAAATTAAAAATTGGATAGTTAAAAATTTCATCTCTCAAATTACCAGTTTAACATCTCAGGGAATTAAAGGCCTTCAAATAAGCCACTGAATAATTTTCAACTGTTTAGGTTTATGTACCAAACATCATCATGTATTCGAAAGTTGCGAATTTCCATTTCTCAGATAATCAGGGACGTCCAACTTAAAGCAGTGTTTGAAATTATAAGCTTCAACTCAATTGATGGTATTTGTTGCTTTATAACTTGTGATTTTTTTCGATGACCACTTCATTTTTCACTGCACATAACACATACATTCGCAGAGTAACGTAACTGTCCAAGACAGTGTTGCCTAAAATAGGGAATGCTTGAACAAATCGATAAAAAGTATCTGAGATCAAAAAATCGATGAAGCGAGAAAAATAGAGAACTGAAAGTAAGGCCAGGCCATATCTGGCTTGCAATGTACCACTAAGCAGAAAACAATAATGCAGAAAAATATGAGAAAACGTTAATAAAACAAATTGATCCATTTTGCTGAAAAGACTATTTCAAATTCTAAAAAAAAACTGCAAAAGAAAAGAAATTAGATTTCTTACTGCAGAGTTAAGACAAACCTCAAGTCACAAATATTCCAAAATAAGGAAGACTGCATTTTTCTGAAGTTGACGAGTAAAATTGAAGTTAACAGCAAAACCAGTTGATTCTCTAGATTGCAATATCTCCTTAGCTTTGTAGTTTGTACCATTTGTTTTCGGTTTTCAATTGGTTCTGTTTAATGAAATGTCACTGTATTCTGGGGTTGCAAGATAGACTAGAGAGATATAGGAAAAGGGAGGGGGTGGTTATCTCACAAGACTGATACGGAAGGGGTCGCGGAGACAGAGAGAACAGATTAAAAATAAGCGAAGGGATCGAATGGAAAGAAGAACGGAACTCTACACATCTTAAAATCATCTATTCGACCATTCAGAGCTACTAGCTGCTATCTACTGACTGATCTAGCGTAGTCGAGGTTGCGGGGAGGGGCGAGGGGTTTCTTGTCTTCCTGAGCCAGTAGACTGAAATCTCTAGAGGCAGTTAGCAGCAGAACATAGCGGCACAGATTAAAATTGGTAAATTCATGATAGCTAACATAACACTACGCTGCAATTTTTTGCGCAATAACTCATACGTGGAAGAAGGATACAAAGAATTCATTTTCAGAAGGCGGTCAACAATCAATATTTCATGCTCGGGTAGACTTGTATCAAAATCACGGATGCAAACAAAACAACAAGCTGGTCTATACCTCCTTCTCACTGTCTGAGTTCTCGTAACAGGTACCAATCAAATTGATCAAGCTGAAGAGAAAACTTCAAATTATACACTAAAACCCAGTTTTTTTGCAACTTCGATCGATCATACACAAGCTTTAATAGCCTTCTCAGTCAAAGTTCAATTTACAATCAAGTTTAAAATTTGGCTGTAAATGGTCATTTTCGATCAAAACTGACCTTTTGGTACCTTACCATCTCGATGAAGAAAGAATTCTGGATACATATCATCACTTTTTAGGTCGACCAACAAGAGTCAAAGATCTGCTTGAGAATTAAGCGTTGCCACCCATCAATCTCTCCAAAAAGTAGAGATACAAGCTTTTTGCTCGAGTTTTGGGTCAATGACTAACACCAGCTAATTGCTCCTACCTTGTCTTTAGGTGTGTTCAGTTTTGTTGCTTTCCACTCGAAATCAGGTATCAAAAAACTCATCTGCACCCTGCACGGGTCGGATGATATATTATATTGAAGCACTATCAGTTGTGATTCGGAAGACATGAAAAAAAAAACAGGTTTAAAATGTTCGAGTTGTAGTCTCATTTCGAGCGAGTACAGCGAGCGATTAGGTCTTAACAAAACTTTTCATTTAATTATTTTAAAAAATTTTGTTTACTCCACGAACTAGTTTTGGAATTTTATTGAGATTTTCCTAGGTAACAAAAAATTTCCAGAAAATCAAAAAAGATTCGGCAAAAAATTCGAAATTGTATACATTTTTCTGAATT